AGTCTTCCTGTGTGTAGACAGGTGACCGCGTATAATGAGCCAATTCTTTCATGCTGTATACATTTTTTGAGAATGGAGAATTTCACAATATGTCCTCACCAGGAAAATATGAACCTGACTGTCCTACGATGCTGTCTGAATTGTTTGCATCTGGGTCATTTTGGTAGCTTTGGAGGCTCTTACAATTTGACAAAAGGCTACTAAACGTCGAGGAAACAACAATGACTTGCATCTTTTGATAAAATGATCCCTCATATTTTTAATAGTGTTCAGATGCCTTTTTTTTTATCTGTTAGATCACAACAATGTTTACCAAATGGTAGAGGAAAAAGTAACCAAAAGAAAGGGTGCTGAATTCCACCATACTGCAGAGAGGAAGTATTGACCACCCAGATTGCTCTGGAGAACAAATCGTTTATTTCACTAGAGGTAAATTCTGTCTGAACGAGAATCGATTTTAAAACAAACAAACAAACAAAAAAAAAAACCTCCCGTCTGGCCAGGTCACCTGGATTTTGGTAATTAAAATATTTTTTTTCACTTAAGTATGAATTATTTGTGCTATGATCACATCACTTACCTAGTGTGCTGACTTTGCAGGTAAAAGAATAGATACTACAAAGCGGCAATATTGATTTCTTTAACTTGAATGGAGTTTTATCTGTAGAGGTGCCTTGAGTATAAATATGGAACAACAGAAGCATGGCTTCTAGGGAGAGAGAACATCTTTTCTTAGATGAGTTAAATTGGAAAAAATATTAAAAGGCTATGCAAAAGTCCTCCTTCCGATCTCTCTTCTTTCCACCCTCTTTCTTCGTTAGGTATGAATATATTTATACTCCAAGTAATAATAAGAGGTACACAAACTAGTTTGCTACAAAAGTATTTCTGTAGAAGGAGCAGTCCTGTGTTAATATAATCTGCAGTCCCGTCTATTGTTGCAGTTCTGTGCTGGAAGATTCAGATGAGAGTGAAAACACTGTGTGTTATTTCTGAACCCATATAATAAAGTTAGTAGGAGTCTTGTAGTAGAATTAACTGAGGATCTCCACTAATGCACTGAGAGAAAAAACTGATTGCTAAAAGCTTTTAGAAATGTGTAGGAACTCAACTCATGCATGAGAGCTCTGCCAACAGAGTAATCGATCTAAGGAATAAATGGGAAATATATGCAGAAACCGCTAAGGGGGTGTAGCACTGTTAACAGTTTATTATAATACAAACTAAAACCAGAATAATCCTATGTGCGCAATATGCACATTTGCTTTAATTCTCAATGTAGAAACACTGGACTCTATTTTATGAAAGTTCAGTGAAAGATTTCTTTTTAATTAAAGAGAATTACTAACATAAGAGTACTAGGGCCTGGATACACAATATTTTCTGAAACAGTGCAGAATAACACCACGCCGATAAAGGCTGATAAATGTTTAGAGAGAGTCTGGTGTGGCACGGGGCGCTTGGAAAAAAACATGTATGGGTCAGCAAAGAGGCTGAGCCAAGAAGCAGCGCTGACCTCACGCAGCCTAAGTTAGCTCTCCTCTGCTGCTGGCTATGAACAGACACTGTGTTCTTTACTGTCTGGCTGCAGCTGATGTGTTTAATCAGAAAAAGCATGGGGCACCTCTGGAAGAATGAAAAGAAAATAGAACGATGACAGTAAAACCAAGAAAGAGAAGCAGACAGAGGTGAGGCAGAGACAACAGGATATGAAATGTTCCAACTCGAGGTTGTAAGTTCAAAATCTGGGAAAGAGCACTAGCGACTGGCTGCAAGTTGTTTACATCTGGAAGCCTAGTTGAAAGGCACTCTGACCAGCCTCGAGATCTCATACAGTTTGCAATATCTACTGATGGGGGCATGAATACATGAATAGATTAGAAGAGCAAAGATCTTCTGCATCCTGAGGTTTGGTCTCCTTAGGGAACAACTTGGAAATGCAGTTCGGGGGACTGTGGAAACCTGCGCTGCACATGCGGCAGTTATTCCCTTGAAAACATAAAATATGTGGCTTCAAGGCAAACACAACTTACATAAACACTATAGGCTGCAACTCCTCTTTGATAACCACAGCACTTGGCAGATGCAGACTTCTCCAGCCCTACCTCGAAGGGTGGCTTTGCTCAAGGGACTACTTCTTAACCTTCTTTACTATAAAATATACATATTCCTAAGTCTATAATGTTTCTTGTAAAGCATGGATGGGATATCTCTTGAGAGATTTCTTGTGACCCCTTGAACACTAACATAAATGATGGAAAGAATTTAGAAGAACAAGGTAAATATTTATAAACTTGCATTATAAATCAGTGATCTTGTAATTTCTCTGACCCTCAACACTGTGCTTCCATCCATGTGATAAATGACTGCATTGCTCACGCTGGATTTTGGTGCAGTTGTCTAAGCAAGCTGTCTAAACAGAGACAAGGAACCAGAGACCTTGGAAACTTTGAAGTTATGTCTCATGCAAGTTAGTGAAAGAAAATTGCTTAGCTTTCCTTCCATATGCAGTTTTCCACAAAAGAGAGGCCCTTCCCCTTTTCTCACTTGCAATATAGTTTCCAGTCACAGTTTTGTCAGGGGGAATTATAGTGCAGCTTCTTATTTTCAGGTTTGGAATCAGAGTGGTATTAGCCTAGAGACAGCGGGATGGATCATATCTTCTCAGCTGGTCAACAGAAACAATGATATTGACTGGCTCAGCCATAAGTTCACTGTAAACTAGAATACTTCCTATGATACAAAAAAAAAAGGAAAAATCATCTCATGGTGAAGCATGCTGAGCTTAAAGCAAGGCTTCTGCCACAAATATAAGGCTAATGGAGGAAAAAATAGGTACTTTGGAGGGTGCAGTGTGTGTGTGTATGTGGGGAGGAGATTCAGACACCATGTTTTTAAATGAAATTCATGTTGTTCCATGGTACTTAACAGCTCTAAATCAGTATTTTGGCTGCATGTTGCAATGCAATGTTGCTAGAAACTTGGAGCCAAATCTTGTCCTTAGAATTAAATGACTATGCATATGTGTATAAGAGGAGGAAATACAGTCAATTAGCTATTACAGGATGGGATAAACCTTAATAAACCTATTTCTATCTCCTTTTCCTGCTTGTTGCAATGAGTTTTTAATAGTCCTCTCTTTCCTCATCATAGTTGCAGTACTCTTTGGATAAGTCTTTTTTTCCCCCACCCTGCTCTCCCCCCAATCATATGAAATGGTATGAAGTGTTCTGTATGAGCCCACAGAAAAAGCTTTTTTTTTTTTTTTTAAAAAGGAATTTTACAAGCACTTAGGTAGCTAATGAGACACCTAAGACTCCTAGTGGAATTTCCTTTCTACCTACCGCAAGTACATCTAAATGATTGACCTATGATTTGAGTATTTTCTATGAGTGGACAGCAGGTAACTTGACACATGCAGAGCTCTAGTTATTGCTGAGGTTCAGCTAGGATGAATTACCTCTGAGGAAAATCACACCTCCTGAATTCTTTTAAAATAATTCTTCCTATTTCCATCCACAACAATTTTCTATAATATTGCAAAATCCCACTCAAATTTTTCCAGGATGTTTCTTATGTTTGTTCTGTATCAGCCATTTTGAAGTGAAATATTATTGTACGGCTTCTTTAGACAGCTGCACTCCCAGATGTCTCATATCTGATTGTACTGGAATTGATAGCATTAAACCTAGGTGTTGCTCCAGTATTAGCTGCAGGTCTGAAATCATTTCCTAGAAGGGAGCTAGGAACGGTTTCTTTCTGGCTACGCAAGGTCACAATTCTGCACAGCTTATTGGCCAAACTTATTTTTCATGGTGTTGTCAAAAGTGACCTTCTGCATGAAAATTCAGCTTTGGCGAAGTCAACTTTTAGCCTGATTTGTCAGGGAAACGAGGGGTATGAGGTCATGCAGAATCATGCAGTCCGTCTGTCCATCTCCCATTAGCAACCACTGAACTGGTTGATTGATTGTAACCAATTCTGATGGGGTAAAGCAGGAAACTGGAAGTCAAGTTTCACGTCAGGAGGTGGAAGGTTGGGCAGCTGGAAATGCAGCTGCGAGTCAGGAAGTTGCCTCAAGGGAGATACACAACTCCAATCTATAGGGAGCAGGAGGGAAGGCTATGCTATGGCTGATAAGATGGCTAAACCCTCCCTCTCCGCAGATACAGATTTCCTAGCAAAGCTGCTACTTAAGAGTTGACCCTTTCAGCTTAACAAAAGGCTTTCCCTTGAAGCTCACTTTGCTTGGGCATCGCTCAGTATTACTGAAATAGAGAAATTTCTCTGACTAGGCTGTCTTGCTTTACTGCTATTAACTAAGGGATTTTGTTGCCAGGAGTTAATCTTAGCACTCTTCTTTTATCACTAATGTTTATAAACAGACATAACCCCTCCACCAAATCCAACCCTACCTAACAAAGGACAAAAAGTGAGGTACACATTGGAAATGGCTGCACTGACACCAATGGAATAAAAACATTGAATTGGTGTTAATATGAAGAGGATCCAAAGTACTAGGAGGCTCATTGCTACTGCTGCACTTTGTTTTACTCTATCTTCTGGTGACTTTATCCAAGAAAAAGACTTTACAGTTTGTTTTTATAACAGAAATAGGCAGGCTCTGGAGGTATTTTTAATGAAAGACAGGACACAGATTTTGCAACTTTGATGCTTCCGGTCCCCATTACCAAGATTCTGAGAATAGCAGCTTGTTTGGGGAACAGTTTTTTGTGGCATGCTATATACCATAATATATAACGGTATATAACCATATACTGTATGTTTTATGACCATAATGTTTACTTATATTTCTGGAAAAACCGTAGCTAGCAGTACAAAAGCTGTTTATGATACTCACTAGGAACAAGAACTCGCAATTGCCTGGCTTGTCCTGTTCTTTTACATTAAGTTGTGTTTGAGTCACCTATGCTTTACAAATTCAACAAGCATGCTCCTAGTTCTTAACCTGTACATTAGCAGCTCTGCAGTTTTCCTACCTGTTTGTGAGGATAAACATTAATGTGGCACTTGATACATTCTTGTCCCATGTTAGCCCAAGAGTTTCCACTCATCCATTTTCTCTTGCATTTGGGACACTTGTATTCACCAAAACAGCGTTTCTTGCCCTGGTATGGAGTCAGACCTTCTCCTTTTGGACGAGCCTAAAAGAAAAAAGAAAGATAAGTAGCAATAAATGACCAAGAAGGTTGGGGGTGGGGAGTAGAAAAGTAAATTTTTATTGAGAGATTTTGGGCAAAAGAAGCTAGAGGAAGGGCATTAAGGCCCTTAATGAATGGCTCATACATTGAAGTTTAAATGTAACAGTTCTGAGAGAAGAATGCAAAAGCTCAAGAATACCTGTCAACTCCAAAGTGACACTGAAAATAATACTTAGATACATGACTATGCCCTTTTTGCAGGGAATATATTATTAATATCCATTTCATTATAATGGGATGATATCTATTGAGTACATATCACTAGTATTGTATGCAAAATCTGGAGAAGTAACACGTTAGTGAAAGGCCCTAAATTTCTTTACTAGATCTTCATCTATTCAGTATTACGAGCTATATTAAGACTTTTTACAAGTCAGTTTTACACTGCCTCTAAACCATGAAATATTGGCAGTTCATTAGTATGCAGGTATATATATTATTTTATCTGAAGGTGCAAGCTGGAGTTGAGTAGGGAAGGAAGACATGTTTTTGATTAGCATAATCATTCATTTTATTAATCTCATTAAGTTTTTTTCCCCTTGTAAACAATGTTTCACTGGCCTCTACATTCTGAGAGAAATAAGAAGGGATTCCCAAATATAATGGACTGTTACGGTGTCTAAATGTTCAGTGTTCACTAAAGAAAGCCTGTTTTCCCCAGTAAGCTATTAGAGTTGACAGTGACCTAAGGTAAATTGTTTTACATTTTTCTAAATATTCTCACTGAAATTGTGTGATGTACTTAACAAAAGCACAGTAATGCACATAATATGCTAATGTTAGGTGAAGATGAGAGTATTACACACAGCTGTCCTGAAGGTAGCTGTAAAGATACACCCATTTTCCCAGAGACCCATGCATTTCAAGGTGTTGAAATATTGTCCATATAGTCGCTGCATTTTGTTTATTGTTGCCTAGAGGGAGACGCTTTTCTCTTGGATAGTGGCAGAATGGTACCATCATCTATCAAAGGGTTCTTTGTTATCCATTCATATGTTATGCCTCCAGGGCATTTTTTTAAGGTTCCCAGATTAAGTTTACAAAAGTTAAATGGCCTATCATTCTGGGAAAGGATTTGTTTTGTTTCGGGAGCTTGTACAATTTCTCAGTGTGGAGGTCCAAATTGTTTTCTATGTGAAAATATGGATTGAAAAAGCAGGTGCTTGGCAGAAGACCTGAGCTTGGCAGGAACTTTGGGACTCCAGCTCCCACGGCTCATGTAGATGATGTATGCTGTATTCCTTCAATGGTCGCACGCAGGAGCAAGTGGGAGCAGACCAGTGAGCGTGATCCATCCTGCATACTGGTGAACGAAAGAAGAGTAGGAATCCCAAACCTATTCTGCCTGCGCTTTTTGTCCTGCAGTGTCAGTGAGCAGAATTCCCTACTTGTTTTTCCATACTTACTCTTCAGTGTAGTGATATTTTTCTGCAAGAAATCAGGCACCAGTAGTAACCTGCATTACTAACAGACAAACATCTATAATGATTTGTTTCCTGACTCTCAAAATCTGACGAGTCACTGTAAATGTTCTGGCTCATGGCTCACAGATCATGAAGCTGATGCTTGGACACACATATTCATAGAAGTATTGCACAGCCCCCCCTGCCCCCTTGGTATAATGAGAAACATTTGGAGTTCTAAGACTGAGAGCTGGCAGGCACCTAGAATTTAATCCTCTGATCCGCGGTGTCCCTTGATAAGGATGAGAGATTGTAATTGAACATAGGCAGGAAAATTAATTTATGGAGACGTCCTTATTTTGGACACTTAATTTGGCTCTGTCTCTAAGAAATCTGTTGCACAACTCAAGTCACTGTAAGAAGGAGCCACATGCTCTCTTCGCCTAGAAGTTCTCATGGAATTGAATAGCAACTCTGTGCACAGAGAGCTCTCATGATTGAGAGATCTTCCCCTCCTCACCCTGAGCCTTCATGGATTGTTTTATTTGCAGATTCAATGGGGGCTATGTTATCTGACCAGTAGGAAAGAATTATTTCAAACTCTCAATTTCAGTAGCACTCTACTTAAACTCTTCCTATGGTCAGACCTGGAAAGGTAGCTTCCCTTAGTACGCTACCTTTACTGAGAAGCAGTCTTTTTTAGAAAAAATGCAGGTCGCTGGGTGAATTATTTCCAGAATTAATAGCACAGACTTTGGAAGTAGAGTGTCTGAAGTTTTGCAAATGTTTATGAACAGTGTTTAAATATCACACTCCCACTGCAATATGCTATGCCAGCCATAAACAGTATTTAAACATCAGACTCCCACTGCAATATGTTACACTAGCCACAATTTACAGACAGGGGAAACATTCGGAGATGACTACTTTGAATGCAGCTGATGACTACGGGTTTCTCAAGCTTAGGTAGCTGACTTCAGAGGCATCAAGCTTAAACGCTCTGCCCTCACAAATGCACTGGAGGGCACTGAAGACTTCACGCTGTGGAGTCCTCTCTGTGTATAGTTGGGCACCACAAATGGAGGCTTTCCAAATTAGATGCTACTTTGAAAATGTGACCTCTTTGACTTGCTCAGTAAATCGGAAGCAGAACCAGCAAAAGAATGTAGGAGACCTGACTCCAATGGTAATTTCCTGTTATAACTGCTAGACTAAACTTTTGATTTATTTTTATTTTAACTTTTCAGCTATCACAGCTCCCTCCTCTGCCAGTGACGTTAATTAGCTTACTGGCAAAGCTACAACATTCTCTGTAGGTGTTTCACTATTCTGCTTTATGGATGTTTATACTTTGCCCTAACAGATATTTTCTTTCCACATCTTCAGTTTTCCAAACTGTGCCCCACCGGGAATTTGGATTCTCAAACAAAAAAGCTCATTTTCTCAAGTAAGAAACATCATTAGTACTGATAGCAGTGAAGGCAGTTCTCCAACTCCCTCTGCCCTCCAGGTCCAACAAAGCTGAAAAGTTTACCAAAGTATTTGGTGGAAGGCAAAACCTGAGTGAGATACACTAATGGCCTGAAAGGTCCTGAGCTCGTTTATTTAGTGTCTGTAGCTTCACCAGTGCAGCTGAATTACATAAACATTTCCAAGAAACAGACTGTTCCTTCATGTCTAAGAAGCCAGCACTGCCTGGCAGGGTGCATGAGTGCCTGGTCACTCGGTGACAGCGGAGTCTTGGTACTCATCCAGCCGGGGGGGGGAAACTATTTTCACCAGAGATTTTTCTTAACTAAGTGCCAGGAGAGAGCAAGAAGACACATTCTGTGACTTTTGATGTTAGCCTAAAGCCTCTTAGTTCACAAATGGTGGAATTTATCTTGTTTAAACAATTAACCTCCTATTCCCTTTCCACACATACTAACTCGATTTGAAATGTTTACTAATAAACCTTTGGTGTTTTGGTCCTATAATTCCCTCAGTAAACGTTATTTCCGCTTACTCTTTTTGCAAATAGGCACTTATTCATATTCTAAGTTAATCTGGCAAAGTTATGCCACTGTTCATAAGGGCAAAATATTTTCTTGTTACCATGTTACCATATGCTGTCTGTTCCCTTTAGTCCCAGGTAGTCTTGGCACGGTTTCTGCACTTGGCTGTAGAAGTTCTGTGAAACCCTATCAGATTCTTACCAAGCTTGAAATTATATTCAAATAGGGTTGCAAACCATAACATGGACAAGTTTTTTGCATTCTTAGCTTTCTTCTGGGTAGCTGACAATTTTGTGCTGTGCTTTAAAAACTGATTAGACAGCCTTACTCTATAAAAACAGTTTCCAGCATTCTCCTGCCATGGGACTGTTTTCCTCTGCAACAGCTATGTGTATGTTCACATAGACGTTTTGAAGATTATTTAATGCTGTCAGTACAAGTAGCTATTTGGGGATGAACAAATCCAAATAGATTTTTCTTCGGGTAATGGCGAGTTTCTGGTCCTTCAAGTAGGTCTCTTGTCTAGACCTAGGCCTACATAGCAGCCTGTTTGTTCTGCTTGTGGGGATTCTGCAGACATGAAGGTCTTCCTTCCCTAAGACACTCTTGGGGGGGCGGCGGGGGGCAGGGCTGCTGGGGCGGGGCGGGGGGCAGAGCTGCTGTGGCAGCCTAGTGCCCCTTCCCACTTTGATCCCAATTAGAGCTGATCTTGGGCTGGTCTCATTAGTGCTGCAGCTGAAGGGGACTCCGGCTGGCCTTGGATTGCAGAAGCAACGCAGTTCTGCAAAAGCTCTTGCTGGGCCCCATGGCCAGCAGCAGCTAGCCAGATGAAATGACCCTGCCCTCTGATTCATGCAAGAGCTCACTGGCTGTGTGGAAGCAATATATTATCTTGGACATTCAGAGAAATGCTAAGACAAATGAAATTGTCTTTGCAGGTGTACCTAATGCATGTGCCTAAAAGCAGTGCATGTGTTTGCTTTAATGAGATTCAATGCGTGTGTGTAAAGCCAGTGGGTTTTTTTTGTGTGGCACAGCAATGAAAATGACATCAATATTCCATCCTTCATTGACACCCAGCTGCCTCTATTTTTTGGTATGCCTCTTCTTTCCTCAGCCAAAACCACAAATTGGCCATAATAAGGTTTTAAAATTGTTTAAGTTAAGCTTTTCGGCTGGTAACTGGCCAACGGCGCTCTAATGGAACCTATCAGACTGTGCATCTCGTAGAAGAATTTGCCAAATCACTTGGCAGTGATGGACATAAAGCACTTGCTTTCCCAAGACGATTCTCTCAAAGTATCAGTTTGAACAGTCAGCACAAACAAAACAAAACACCCACATGCCGTGCTTGAGACTAGATTCATTATAAATAGCAACTTGCAGAGGGTTTCCTCAAAGCGCAAGGCAGAGGAACGCTTTACTAAATGCTCTTCTTCCCTTTGTCTTCCTCCTGAGTTTGTGTTACGTAGCTGAAAGATAAAGAACATAGGAGAAAGACAGTACAGTGTAGGGGACCTCTTTAAGGGTCTGTGTGTAAGGATAT